TCCAACAATAGTGCACAAATAGTGCCAGAGCGAATTTCTTTTCACAATAATACATGGCGTGACGCCGGCAGTTCCCATTTAAACCTTGGTAATTTCCCTCCGAGCATAAATAACCAAGCTGATCGCTGGTGCATACGCACTCGGTAGTATCTGCGTTTATAAAATATGTTACTATAATCATAATCATAATAATGTTATAATTAATAATAATATACCAGACAAGCACTCATCGTAGCCCGTGTTATCGGGATGAGCATGGGCGCATTTGGGGCATATGTTTCTCAACGTAGCCTTTTGTCTTATTTGCGAGCACTGGTAGAAACCGTTGTCCTCGCAATCGCCCTGTAAATGATTACCATCTAGCTCCTTTGCCCGATTACCACAGAAATTACCAAGCCAATCCTTACAATAACACTCGCCCTCTATGACAATCATGTAATTATTAATATTTTGTTTAAAAACATAATATTTGCTGAAGTATTTTAAATATAATAAATTATCTAAATAATTATTCGCAAATTAGTGTAAACTAACCTATTATTTAACATTACCCATATTAATAAACCATTTAGATAAATATTTAATCACAATATAATATATATTATCATCCAACTTTATTTTTTTTATTTTAATACAGTATAGATCTTTAAGATATACTGTACGTATTTCTTTACATGTAATGTACTGTAAATTTATGTAGATTTAATATTGTTCATATTTTGGTATATACGTTATATCATTTAAGTTTAATTTTATAAACTTATTTTAGGATAATCACTATATTAAAACTTGAATTATATCCAAATTTGTCAATTTCAATAGCACAAAATTTGCTATTAATTTATTCTAACAACACAGTAAATTACCTTTACATGTACATAACCTTTATACTTTATAATTTACGCTATGTCATTTTATATAAAATACTTAATATTTATAAAGTTTATACATACTGTTTCCGCAATAATCCAGGCCCTTTCCACTATGATCAGTTGAACATGCTACACACATTTCATTAAGCGCAGCCTCCTGATGCGGCCTGGTACATTCGTAGAGATATTGAGCTCGACACTTTTCAGCCGAGCCTATTAGCGCCGGCTCAGTTGCCAGGTCATTTAAAGCCCTCGAGCCACAGTGTTGGCCAGTCCACCAGCCACACAAACACTTGTCATCTAAATGCAAAATATTGTAATTTATACTCACTCTACCTTATTGGAATAGCGTAAAATACAAACCGCAATACCCTCTGCCCGGACTGTTTTCTATACAGTCAGAACACTTGTGCACAAATGTGGCGATTGAGTCATTTTTCTCGCAATAGTAGAGTGACCCACTGTCGCATTTGCCAAATAAAGCATCTGATTTCTCTTTGGCACAAATGTACCCTGTGTATTTGCCGCACACACACTGCTCAAGCGCTATTAAAATAAAATTACAATAAAATTATAAAGTGCAAATATAAATAAAATTTCATAATGTTAAAATAAATATACCTTTGTGACATTCGTCAAGGCCAATTTCATCCGCGGCCTTATGGCACCGGTGACATTGTTCCTTTTCGTATGCAGGTTGGTTAATTTCAGAGCAATAGTACCTAATGTTTTCATCGCAAACACCTGTTAAAATTGGACCTTGATCGAGATGACCGTCCACCATTTCCCCCTCTCGCGACCCGCAATGGTTGCCCAACCAAATGCCACATTTGCATTCATTAACTAGTTCATATTAAAGTAAATTGCAATTAATAAATGTATTGTTCAATTCATATTGTAAATCTTTATGTTATTGAATAAAAAAAATAAAGCTTTGATGCATTAATTAATCAAATTAATTAAATTTATACCGGGCACATCAGGATCAGTTACGGGTGGATCAGTTTCGAGTAAATCTGAGTTACAGATAATTAAATTTATATTAATAAATAAGCTTATTGCAATAATATTGATGATATGCATTTTGAATTGTATTGATCATATATTTAATTTTTGATTCGCCTTAACAAAGGCTACAAAACAAATAAAATGCATATGCGTATTTTTAATTGCAATATAATGCGATATCTAAAGTAATAATTTACATGTATAGTTTAATTAGCATTATAAAACTTTAAATTGAATAACGCAGTCAAAGCGTTGTAAATCTGCAATAAATTATGATGATTTAATTTGTTTATGTTGCAAAACGCTTTGTTAGACGTTAAATCTAAAACCATTGTAGTTTTTATCATCTCGGCCAATCTTGTGTTTCAAGCATTATAGGTAAATACACTACATTTACATGTAATTATCATAAATGTTATAAAAATTGTGCTTTATTACATAATAAAGTATTGACAAATACTACTATACTATTGCAAAAGACTCTATTAGTATGTTGAAATTATTTTGTTACCACGCTATAAATATTGTGATTTTTTTAAAACAAAGCAATTTAACTAAATATAAATTTAATTATTAAATAATAATATAAATTATTTGAGACAGATTAATTCGACATAGATTTTTACACAAAACATTATTGTTTTTTATATTCACTTATTTTAATAATATGTATAATGATTTGGTTTTATTAATATTATTGAAATTAAACTTGTTAAACAATTTTTTGTAATGCTTTGTATTGCTTTTAAGACAAGTTTTTGAATAAAATGAACTATTATTATAAGCATTGTCCATGTGGACTCAACTTATGGTTAATTTTTACAATTTTAATATTTATTTTCTATATCACAATCTAATTTCAATACTATAATTAATTGAACTATTTCATTTATTACAAAACAATTCGGCAAAATATCATGAAATTTTTACAATAGTAAATAATTTATTAATATTTTTATTATTATTATACAATAATAATTTTAAATCATATCAATTGAGAATAGTTATTAATAATTAAAATTAAAATAATCTTTATAATTAATTAAATTAATTGTTGAATTTGCATTTAATTAACAAACATTATAGATAATTACATTAGTTATTTTATTGTGTTACTAATCATAATAAATGTTAATAAAAATTAAAAATCAATTTCAACATTTGGTTTATTAGCCAATAATTATAAAACTTACATAAGATTACTTACCACAATCGACTTTATTAGTTCAAAATTACTTGTATATAAGCTGGTTGCTTTTTGATCCAATATACATTATTAAAACTTATTAATACTATAAAGTTAACATTAATTTGTAAACATTATTAAACGATGAGTAAAATAACATTGGCGTTGATGGTAGCCGTGGCGCTAGTTATGGTTGCGAATGTTTATGCTGAGGGTAAGTTATAAATATTAGTTATACCAATAAAAAAAATTAACATATATTCTCTCTCTCTCTCTCTCTCTCTCTCTCCAATCTTAAATACTTTCCCATCAATAATAAATTAATCATATTAATATAAACAAATGTTAATTGTATGTGATCTAGATGACGAGCCATGCAACTGCGGCCTCTGGTTGGGATTAATTTGCGGCAGTCGTGCCAACAAAGCCAATTCAGACGGCGACAAATTACTGACCGGCATTTGCGCCGATAATGGTTTCTACCAGTGCTCGGCCACAAACCAGCCAGCCACTTTTAAAGGTTACTGTCCCAGATGTCGCGAAATTGGAAATGGCCAAGATCAATGCTTGTCACCTACACTTTTGAATAATTAATATGCCTAATTTGCTAATGTATTTTTGATTGTTGTCTTTTACAGCGCTAAGAGTAATTAAAAGTAAATTATAAGCATTAAATCAAGAATATTAATTTTATGTTATACTTGTCTTTAATATTAGCAGCATCTATTAAAATTAATCAAAATTAAATATTTATATAATATAATAGATATAATATATACAATATAATAAATAGTTTGTTTTGTGGCACACCTTACAATTTCAATTTAACACCAACAATTTAAATATTGGAGAAAATATATGCAAAATTATTTTGCATATAATCAATTTAATTATATTTATTAATGTTAATAGTTGATCTAAAGTTGAGTTTAGTTATTGTATAAATGTTGGGTCAATTGGATTATTTAGAACATGATGTTAAATGGGTTGGGAAAAGTTTAGGTGTATAAGCACTGTAATACTATTAATTGAAAAGCTGTGAGCAAAAACAGTAAGGTTCTAATCCTAGTGTAGTTACAGTTGTTTTTGGCTGACTAAACATTTGTAAAATTCGCTTATTTGTACATGCAATTATATGCTGGGTAATATGGTAGAGGTTACGGTTGGCAATATACATTTTACATTTTTATATTAAATACAGGAATCGTTATGTTGACTAAATTTAATATATTTTATAAAATAAATTTATTTAATCCCATATACAGGGATTAAATAAATTTATTTATTTAATTGTATTTTAAATAATATAAAAATAAACTAATGATATAAACTTTATTATTGATTATATAGAAATGCATATAATATTTATAATGATTTATCGACAATTACATATTAATTGTATATTAATTAGTTACTAAATAATTGCTAAATACTTAACTAGCGTTGCCAAACATACATGAATTTTTACATAATAAATTTTTTTACATTGATAAATGCATGTATAAATATTTCAAAAATAATTTGTAATACAGTATAAATACAGGAATTCTTTGGCAATTTTCTTACATTTATACAGGATTTTCAAAATATTATTTGGCAACGGTATACTCAACATTAATTTATATTTTGTTTTATAATACTAATAATAATAAATTATTTGGAAAATCAAACGAGTTTGGACAGAACGGCATAACTGATAACTATTTGGAAAATAGATATTTAGACAAATTCCAATTTTAAAAATAACAATAATAAGAGTTTTATTAATACAAAATTCACTAATAAACTTAAACTTCAAATTTATTGGATTTGTAGAAAATTGTGTAAAATTCGAGTTTTGTTTTTATGTCAACATTTATTTTTGAGCTCAAAAATTATTAAACAAGTTGTAAAATTTTATTCAAATTTAAAATTAATTAATAAATACAATAATGCTATTTTTCAAATACAATTTCATAGTCCGTCGGCACTAAGAAAAAAATGTTTTGGTTGACCAACGGCTCTAATGTATGATCCGTACGGTATTTGTGGGTCAGTCTTATCGGGTGATCGCGTGTTAATTGCAGGAATCGGACCACAAATATAAACATTATATTCAATGCCAGCGATTCTCCGATACATACACGACGTCCGGTGCCAAAGGGTATGAATGCCGGCGGGCGTACTGTCACAAAATTACCATGTTTATCCAGAAAACGACCCGGATCAAAATCACTACTTCGCGGCCAGTATTTCTCATTCATAGACATATTGTATGTGTGCTGCACAACCATTGTTTGGCTGGCTATTGGATGACCAGCTTGGTCAAATATAACACAAATAACCAATATTAGAACTCGAATATAAATACTTTTAAAATTGTAACCATGATAATTTGTTAACCATGATGTTTTATAATAATATATACCGATAGTAGTGTCCAAAAGTGTGTTCCTCGGAGAGCCGATTGGGGCGGCGGTGCGATAGCGTAGAGACTCTGCGAGAAATGCCTGCACGCAATGCATAAGCGGTCTGTCTTGCATTGTGGCCACTCTATCGCCCAACACCTCATCGATCTCTACCCTAAGCTTTTGCTGCCAGTCCTCAAAGTAGGCCATAAATAATAGCAACCATTGGATTGTTGTGAATGATGTCTCGATACCCGCTGTATAAAATGTTTAAAATAATATTGGTGGAAATTATTTAGGTGATCTACTCATCAAACATTATAAATTTAGATAGAATTAAGATAATGGTCAGCGTTTAATGGGATGTATTTTGCTAACAATTGTTTACTATACAATTAAAACGTTAAACACATATTCATAATGTTCCTTCAAGTTCATATTTACATTTTATATGATCAACCCCTTTATATACTGATTATTTATGATAAAGAGTGTATTTATCATGGTCAGCTATAATTGAAATTTACAGATAAAAATTACTATTCAAATATTTAATATTATCTAGTTATTATTATTATTCCATTAATTTATTTTACCCTAATAATCATAATAAATTCTAATATCGTGCTACAGATTAAGATAAATAAACAGTAAATAACTAAAATTATTTTTATAAATGTTTTAGACTGATACATGCTTATATTACCATCACGATCATACAGTTTAAAATAATTTAAATAAAGATCTTTAGATCTAATTTATTTTATCAATGCTTTAACTTTAATTCTCATTGAGAATTTCTCAATTAACATTCTGTATTCTGACATTGTGTTTATTTAAAACTATTTATTATAACAAATAAATTGCTAATTTACCTATAAACAAGTCAACTAACGTGGCTGATACGTTAACATCTGTTAGCCACTGGACGCCCGGCAGGCACTCGGTCTCTGCCTTACGTTTAGCTGCGATAAACATATCGCAAAAATCTCGGCAAAGGCTTTCATCGTAAGTATTTTCGTGTATTTTCAATATGTTTTGCGTATAATCTAAACATTGCTTAAAAGTATGACGAAATTTTGTCAACGGGTCGGACATAAAGGGACGCAAAATCGGTATATATTCGTAAAGAATATAATTGTTATTTAAATCGTGCGATAAAGTCGTATGAATATATTTGAACAGGGTGGAGTATTGATCGTCGAATCTAGCAGCAATTTTATTATATGAATTTTATGATAATTAAAATGTTATATTTACCTATAGTTGAAGATAGATATTAAGGCTGTGTTTGAAATGATGTCATAAAGATATGTTTTTGGATCAAACGGCCGATTAATACCTTCTTTTGCTATCAGTTGTGTAGTTAAGTCAGAAACCAATGCATTTACTTTATGCGTAAAATCCATTGATTTTGAATATTTACTATATTTAAAATAATAAATTTAATATTTTAAATAGTGGTGAACATCACTATCATGCTCTAGTGTGTGATTTCTACTGCAAATGTCACTGTGATGTTGGATTTTATTTTGAAACAACAATTTGTTTGGGATTATCTTAGAGCTAAATTTTTGTTTATTGACTTAAATAAGGGGATTATATCTATGCAAATATACATAGACATATACATATATGTATGTGATTTCTATATTTATTAGTTCAATTATTTTTAACATCAAAATTTTTATAACTTTGTATTTGTAAAATAGTATTCATTGTAATGCCAAATTACTTTGATTTAAACGTAAAATTGATTTGTGACTTTAATGATAGTCATAAAAGTATTTCACAAAAACATTATTAGTTTGACACAAAATTAAATCTAATTTTATAAAATTTAATAAGAATTAATGAGTGTTTCGTTGATTGAAATGAAAAGTAATTTTAATGCAATGAAGAGTTTGTGTGAAATAATAAACAAGTGTATTTTGAATACAAATAATAGTGTTTTGTGTGAAGCGATTGA